TACAGCTATGCTTACAGGTGGTTTTTAAGGCACCTGCTGTGGGTGCTGGGAACTGAGCTGAGGTCCTCTGGGAAAGCAGCAAGCACTCTTAAATACTGAGCTCCTCAGCTCCCTCTGACCCACTGATACTGTGCTGTCGCTCAGTCAGAAATAATAGTCATCAAATCCCTGGGAGAGTGACCTCTATGGACTTAGGGGTTTTCGTACTAAGAATACTTAACCGAACACACTCAGATTTCAAAGCTGGGTCCAAATTGATTAGAATAATGGTAGGAGAGAACGTGAGGAAAAGAGCTGAAAGTCTGGAGTAAAGTTAAGGGCATCTTATGGGAAAGCCTTAGAAATGAAGCTGCACATGGGACTGGAACATCCCTGTGCCAGATACCTGAGCAGAATGGATGGTAAAAGGTGGGTGGTAAGGAAACTTCCTTGAGGTTTCTGCCAGTGCTCTTGGAGGGCTTGAGGGCAGACACTCAGTAGCCCTGAGATTGAGCCTTCTGGGCTCCTCAGCTGGTTGTTAACCTGTTGCTTTCTCTCTTCTAGGGAATGTTAAAAAACTTGGGGAGACATACCCAAAGATCTCAAATGCCCAGAATGCTGAGTTACGACTAAGATGGGGCCAGATCATCCTGAAGAATGACCACCAAGAAGAGTTCTGGAAAGTGAAGGAATTCCTGCAGAGCCAGGTAGGTTATTAATTACATCTCCATCCCCTCACAGACAGGCTGTGTCCATTATCGTACTTGATGCCTCCCTCAGGCAGAGTCTTGTGAGAGTCTTGTGGGGCCTGGCTGCTGAAGGACCCTCCTGAGCTTGCCAGTGTCGGTGTGATTCCTTGAAGCTTTGTTGGAGGTGGGGGGAAGAGAAGTTTGCAGGTTTGGAGACCAGCTGGTGAAGCCTAAGGGGATGGAGTTAGTTAGAATTAACCCCAAGCTGGGAAGAGAGCAATGGATAATGTGAGGACTGGTTGTGCAAAAGGACAAATGAGGCTAGTGAAGGGTGAGGTACCTGTTTCCTGGAGGAGTTCAGGCACTTGTTAACAGTCCAGACACCAGCAAATCCCTCTAAGAGTAACCCTTCAGGGCAGAATGTTCTCATGATAAACTGATCGTCCAGAGCGAGGAGGGGCTGATGTGATCCAAAGCAATACCCAGATGGCTTCTTCAGTAGTGAAGTCTGCAGTGGGAACTGCAGGTCTGTGGGAGGTTCTTTGAGCCCTCTGGGCAGATGGATGCCAAGGCTCTGGAGCTCAGGAGCTTGCCATGCAGCTGCTGGACAGTTAACGTGAATTTGGGGGTTTTGGCTTGATTGCAGATGGGCCGTGCATGGCTCTGGTTTTGAGCTGCCATTACTTTGGTGACTAACCTCCAGCTTTCTAAAAGCTTCGCAGTCCCATTGTGTCAACCCATCTCATTTGTTTGGTACTTGTAGATGGTTCCTTGTTATCATGGGTTGGCATTCTGCTGAGCTTAACTTCCCTACAATTGTTCTCCATCCCCTAGAAGACACCAAAATCAGTACTTCTGACAGAAAAGTCCTTTATTCCAAAGCTGACCCCCAAGTCCCTTTTGTCCTCAGACCATGACTGCTGTTGGAGAAGGAGGAAAAGGGCTGGGCACACCCACTGAGCAAGTTACTGAGGACAGGTGTCTGTGTTTCTTACAGGGAAAGCAGAAGTACACTCTGCCTCTGTACCATGCCATGATGAGTGGCAGTGAGGTGGCCCGGACCCTCGCCAAGGACACCTTTGCAGCTACTGCCTCCCAGCTCCACAGCAACGTGGTCAACTATGTCCAGCAGATCCTGGTGCCCAAGGGCAGTTAGAGGCTCACGTGGGTGGTCTTTGCTTCTCAGGCTTCGTAGGCTTTCTGAAGAATTGTTCCTTCCCAGATTCAAGTTCTCAAGTCCTGGAGTGTCCTGGAGTTTCTATTCTCTGGGCTTGGGTGTCTTAAACACATGGGTCTCTGCCCCCGGGAGAATTTCTGGTCTAAAGAGCCCTGAGACCAGAAGGTCTCCCCATGTCCCCCCTAGCCCAGGCTGCAGAGGGTAAAATCTCTTTCTCTTTTCAAATAAATGTTTTTAAGTAAGAAGTAGATAAATTGAAGTTATAGACTGAGTGACTGAGTCACTTATTTTTATTCTGATTATTTTTTTTTAAAGAAATGCTCTGTGTGAGAGTGTGTGTGTGTGTGTGTGTGTGTGTGTGTGTGTTTGTGTGTGTGTGTGTGGTGCTCATGTGGAGATTACTTCTCTTGTACCACCAGGTGGGTTCCAGGGACTAAGATTGGGTCAGCAGGTATAGCGGCAGCTACTCTTACACGCTGAGCCATATTTCCAGCCCTGTTTTGAGACACTCACTATGTAGTCCTTTTTGGCCTGGAATTCACTATGTAGACCCAGCTCAAACTTGTGAGCCTCCTGCCTTCTGAGTGCTGGGATTACAGGCAGGAGCCAAAGTCACGGGGTCCCCTTTGTGTCATGTGCCATGGTGGACCACATACACCATTCCTCGGTCCTCCCTTACATCCCTGGGGCTTTGCTAGGCCTCCCCTTACCCCAGCTCCTCACTATTCTAATGGATTGGGATTTGCAGGGTCTGCTGAAAGCCTGTCACTAAATTCTGATTTCCTGGCTTCAGCATGGAGATGGAAGCAGTTAGCATCTTGGGTTTGAGAATAGAATGACAAAGAGTGTTTGAATAAATGCTAAGATAAGTTGAAGTTGTCTTTCCTATATACAGGGACCTTTGAACCAGTCTCCATCAGTGGCTCCACCTTTGGCTCTGCCTTCCTTGAACAAAAGTGGAGAAAAAGAGCTGAGGTTCCTCCATCTTTGACAAAGCCAGGTGGTAAGCAGGATGGTGCCCCTGCCTCGCTGTGTGCCCAGCCTCAGCAATAGAGGCAGCTGTGAGCTACAGGACAGAGATTTGAGGGCCCAGAAGAGCAGGCGAGGGGTTACTGCTGATCTCTCTCAAGACTGTCCTTGGCCTCCTGCTTCCCTCCCCTTCAAATTTGCCCTGTCAGTCCCAAGATCTGTCACTATCTTTTTCTTTGTTTTTTGAGACAGGGTCTCTCTGTGTAGACCAGGCTGGCCTTGAACTTAGAGATCTGCCTGTCTCTGCCTCCCAAGTGCTGGGACTAAAGGCAGTGTAGCCGCCACCACGATACCCCATCCCCACCCCCCACCACCTGATTGGCTTCCACTCACATTTCATGGGCATCAGGAGTTGTGTGTCCTGTCTTGTTAACCATCTTGGCTTTGCTGGAGTCCTATTTGGTCTGCTTATGCTTTTACAGGACTGTGGGACCATGTTCTTTCTCACTTTTCTTCTCTCGTTGAATGAATTAATACTCAGAGGAATGGGTTAGCTAAAAGATTTCCATAGCTCTGTTTTTCCTGGGAAGAAGCCCCATGAAGGCAAGGGAGCTAGCTGATAGCCTCACTCTTCGTGTATCTACCTCCTCACTTTGCTCTGAGGACCCAACCAGGTGTTGAAGGGGCTAAGGAGCACGTGAGTAGCCCTGAGGCTAAAAGCCGGTTCTCCCACATTCCAGGGTGAATGACTAGGCAGAGGGTGTGTCTGCCTCAGGCTGCTTGGGGGAGGTCCCCTGAAGGGCCAGTGAAATCCTACCCAGAGCGCCCCCCCCCCCCCCCCGCTCTCCAGCTGCGCTGCCCTAGTGGAAAGGAGCATGTCTGTTTGAAGAGTGGATCCCACGGGGGTGGGCGGAGGAAGTTGTGTCCTTGGACAGTGGACACAAAAGGAATTGCCTTTTGTTTGAGAACTCCTGGGGGTTGCATGTCCATAAATGAGGTGGAGAGAGAAGACACTGATCTTAGATGCAGAAAATACTGATGGTTTAGTAAAGAGAACTTGCTCAGTTCATTGAGTGTCCTAGGTTGGTTCCTCAGGCAGGTTATGTTTTTGCTTTTGAGACAGAGTTTACTGTAGCATGAGATAGCCCCAAACTCTACATGTAGCCGAGGCTGACCCTGGAATTCCAGACACATGCCACTATGCATGTCTTCATATGGTGGAGGACATTATTAAACCCAGGGCTCTGTGAAACACTAGGTTAGCACCATACCAGCTGTACCATGTCTCCAGCCCTGCCCCTTTAAAAATTAAATAATAATAATGATAATGACTTATTTATTACTGGAGCACATTCATGCCACCTGTGCATGTGGAAGTCAGAGAATAACATTGTGGAGTCATTTCTATCCTATCTTTACATAGATTCTAGAGATCGAATTTAGGACATCATATTTGTGCCTCAAATGCTTTCATCCACTGAGCCATCTTACCAGCACTTTGTTTTTGAGACAGTATTTAGTCTTACTGAGTTTCCCAGGCTACCCTCAAACTCTCAGTGTGCCTGCCTCAGGCCCCTGAGTAGCTAGAATTCCAGGCACACCCCTCTGACTTGGGATAGCTCCCAAAACCACGGTCTCTGATCATCCAAACGCAGATGCTTAAGCGTGGCTCTGCAGCTGCCTCCCTGCCTCCCGGGCGCTCTGGGATCTCGAGACCTGCAGAAGCTGGCCCGCTGAGAACCATTGATTACTCAGGACTCATTGAGTGGACGGTTGCACCCGGAGCCACTGCGTGTAGGGAAAAGACACCAGCAACATCTGTCGCTTCCCTGGCCTGAGCAAACCACTTGTGACAACAACTTACATCTTTTTCTTTCTTTCTTTGTATTTTTATTTTGTTTGTTTGAGAAAGGTTTCACTATGTAGCGCTCAATAGCCTAGAACTCACCATGTAAATCATGCTTAGGCTTGAACTCAGAATCACCTGCCTTGGGAGTGCTGGGACTAAAGGCATGTACCACCATGCCTGTCCAACACTGCTTCTTAATTTTTAAAAAATTATATTTGCAGCCAAGCATAGTAATGCACGCCTTTAACCCCAGCACTGGGGAGACAGAGGCAGGTGGATCTCTGTGAGCAGGAGGCCAGCTGGTCTACAGCGTGAGGCCCAGGGCCACATGGCTGTAGTCGGTTCTCTCCTTTCTCATATGGGACACAGGATGCCAGGCTTAGTAGCAGACACCGTTATTCACTGAGCTCTCTTTCTGAAGCCCGATATTGCTTGTTGGATTTTTCTTTTTTTGTATGATGATTTGTATTGTGTTAAAAGGATGGTGCTGGTCTGGGTGGTTTACACCTTTAATCTCATTACTAGGGCCTATCTTTTGAGTTTGAGGCCACCCTGGTATATATGTAGAAAGACACTGTCTCAGAAACAAACAAAGTGTTCTGGGAATATAGGCCATTTGTAGTGCTTGCCTGGGAAGCTCTGGGCTCAATTTCTAGCACCCCTGGTTTTTCAAGACAGGAGTTTCTCTGTATAGCCCTGACTGCCCTGGAGCTCAGTCTGTAGACCAGGCTGGCCTTGAACTCACAGAGATCTGCCTGCCTTGGCCTCACAAGTGCTGAGATTAAACACGAGCGCCATTACCCTCCTGCTTGTTTTTGTTTTTTTAGATGCCTGGTAAACAGTAAATTAACATACACAATTCCTTTCTGTTTATAATGACGCAAGTGTTGGGCTTCTGGCCACTAGAGGGCAGCAGGCAGATGATACTGAAGAGCTTGGGAGGAGAAAAGGGTGAGGCTTTCCCCTTGTGAAATACAGCACCTCCAGCCGACCCTAGGCTAGGAGAGCGCCACAGGCACCAGGGAAGACTTTTGAGATAGTGCCGGATCGTTCCGCTGCAGCAACCAGCGTGCTTGGGTTCTAGACAGGCAAAGTGCCACCAAATGGGCTCTGTGGCTGGCTAGACTGGCAGACCCAGACCACTGGCCCGTGAATGTTGCCCAGTGTGCTGCCTAGATGCTTTGAGCACCCAGTTTCTGGGTGCTGTGGAGAAAATCCCTTAGCCTCTGTAACCTCTACTAGGTCCTCTGGTCCCCAGATCTCTAGACAGATGCGGCAGTCCTGACCCAGGCCATCCGACCCAGGTTCAGAACCCTTACCTTGCTTTCTCCTCCCTAGTCTAGCCCTGGCCTGGCCCCCGGGGAAGAATTTCCCGGGCCAGAGGGCAGCCTAAAGCACAGATGCCCACCCCAGCAATGTTCCCGCCACCTGCCCAGTCCAGTACCCAGGGCCCAGCCCCAGAGGGTGCGGAATGACTGACTCTGACAATCATTAAACCAGCCAGGCCTGATTTCCCAGCACCGCCTGCTAGGATCTGGGCCAAGTGGCACGGAATATGCAAATCACCTGGGACCGGGAGCCCAGTCTGAAGGCCAGGAAATCCCCTCCATCCAATGAGCCACTAGCTCAGGTTACAACTGGGGACGCGCACCGAAGACCTGGCGGGGGAGGAGCTCCTACCTCGCTCTATTTAGAACGGGTGGGGGGGAGCGCTCAGGCCACATTCATCCCCGCTACCTGGCGGAGCCTTCGGCCACTTGGATTTCTTCCCTTCCTGCGGCCTCGGAAGCCTGTCTACCCGCCTGCCGCACTGAACCCTGACGCTCGGTAGGGTCACCACATTCCTAACTCTGGCCGCGGGAACAGTCCAGTGGATTTACAGTTCTGAACCTTATCGCTCTAGCTTGGGGCTTACTAGCTGAACTGTTAGGGCTGTGGGTGTGTTTCGGGACAGCTCAGAAACAGATCAGTGTCTCAGAGAGACAGGGTGGCTTCTTTGGTTCAAGGGTCCAGGTGATTTTTTTGGAGGGAGATCCAGCGGAATTTATCTTATGATTCCATCCTGCCTTGAGATGATTATTTTATCTTTATTTTTATTTTTTGGAGCGTAACTGCCCAGTTTGGTGCCAGCTGGCCTGGTGCTTCTAGGCTCAAAAGATCATTCAGCCTCAGCTTCCCAAGTAGCTGGTTCTTGGGGGTGGGGGGATGTTTCTTGGAGGGAGAATGTCTACAGCAACACCGAACTTCTCGCCTCTTAGATGTGCTGCCCAGGCCAGACAGAGTAACGGACGTGTGCCTTGACCCGCGTCCTCACCACCTTGTCTCCTCTTGCCAGGGAGCCTCATGGCTGCCACCTGCGAGATCAGCAACGTTTTTAGTAACTACTTCAACGCCATGTACAGCTCAGAAGACCCTAGCCTGGCGCCTCCTCCTCCTCCTCCTCCACCTCCAACTGCTACCTTTGCTGCTGAAGACTTGATGTTGACCCTGAACAACCCCCAGATGTCACTGGAAGGTCCGGGTGAGTGCTGTGCAATGGGTATCTTTATAGACAGACATCAATCCAAAGGCTCTTAGATAAATGGGCGGGGAGGAAGGCCTCCAAGGGAATTCCAGGACTAGGGGTGGGGAGATTTTATCCATTCGTATACTTGCAGTGCTGGGGAAAGACCCCACGCGAGACCTTATTCATGCTAGACTGTGATCCTACCTGTAGTGGCTGAGGTGGTGGGATGGTAGGGGCTGTGACAGTTTGAGGGAAGGACTGAGACCAGGAGTGTTGAGGTTGTGACTGTTACCCGGCCCCGTGGGTTGGGTAGGACCTCAGACAAGATCCCAAAGGGACATGAGAACTCGGGCCTGCGCCGACCCTCTGACTGTACTCTGCCTTGCAGAGAAGGCAAGCTGGTCAGGGGAGCAGCCCCAGTTCTGGTCGAAGACCCAGGTACTGGACTGGATCAGCTACCAAGTGGAAAAGAACAAGTATGACGCCAGCTCCATTGACTTCTCCCGCTGCGATATGGATGGGGCCACCCTCTGCAGCTGTGCCCTTGAGGAGCTGCGTCTAGTCTTCGGGCCTCTGGGAGACCAGCTTTATGCCCAGCTTCGAGACCTCAGTAAGTCCAGGCCTGGGAGCCATGGGGCCTAGAGAGTGAATAGGAAGGATGGGCCTTGGGTTGGGCTTGGAGCTCCTGGCTTGAGAGTACAGCCATCAAGCTCTTGCTGGAAAGGTGGTCAGTGACCCTCCCCCTACCTCTGCCAGCCTCCAACTCTTACGATGAACTCAGCTGGATCATCGAGCTGTTGGAGAAGGACGGCATGGCCTTCCAAGAAAGCCTAGGAGGAGACCCGGGCCCCTTTGGTGAGAACCCATTTTCTCCCTTTCTCCTGCTCATCTTGTCTCATCTGCGACCCTGCCAAAGTGTTAGAGATAGACTCTCCTGGCTTGAAAAAGAATTTCATGGTTCTCTGGCTCCTAGGTGGCCTTACCTGTCCTTGCCAGTCCCCTGGCCTTCTCTAAGCTCCAACTCCTTTTTCCCAGACCAGGGAAGCCCTTTTGCCCAGGAGCTGTTGGATGATGGCCGCCAGGCAAGCCCTTACTATGGCAGTAGCTATGGTGCTGGAGCGCCCTCCCCCGGTAGCTCTGTCTCCATTGCAGGTAAGAGCCCTGTCCTTGCCTCAGCCTCCCTTCTCCGAATGCCTCAGAGTGCATCTAGTTCCTAGAGTGAGCACTTGAAATTGCAAGCGGCAGCCGGGCAGGCTGGCCTTGGCATTCAAGGGTCTTCTCCACCCTAGGGGCCACTACCCCCCAGAGCTCTCACTCCTCTGACTCCGGCGGCAGCGACGTGGACCTGGACCTCACTGATAGCAAAGTCTTCCCTAGAAGTGAGTTGAGGGCTGTTCTTGGGGTCCCGTTCCACAGTGTCCAGCCAGTCACCCTCTTCCATCCTCCTCTCTGCTCTAGTGCCATGGTTCCTGTGGCTAGGCTCCCCGCTGACACCCTGCCCTCACCTTCTCTTGACCTTCCAACTCCTTCCCATAGATGGCTTTCCTGACTATAAGAAGGGGGAACCCAAGCACGGGAAGAGGAAACGGGGGCGTCCCCGAAAGCTGAGCAAAGAGTACTGGGACTGCCTGGAAGGCAAGAAGAGAAAGCACGGTAGGTTCTAGGGTCTGTGGCCTGTGGTCTGTGGGCCAGTCGGCAGAGGGACACCATTCCTTCGGCCTCCTTGGGCCTCTCATGGCCGATGGAGCTTCCTTGATCGCATTGCCTTTGTGAACAGCTGGAAGGCTCCATGGCATTAGTTATCACTGCCTTGCAGAGGCCTGCTTGAAATTAAAGAAGGGAAACTGAGGATCCTAGAGGAAGGCCCATGGATAGAGTCCAGGCTTCCTACACACCCCCTCTCTAACTTTCTGTGCACGTGGCCCCTGTCTGGCCTGATGGAACTTTCCGGTGGCATGGGGGCAGCTGGTGGGTGCTCAGAGGGCAGTTGACTGGGATGGCTGGGACTCAGCCTTAGGAGCCTTAGGCTTTGTGTGCTCCAGCTGCTCTGAACTTGCTTCCCTCCCTTTTCACACACACAGGCCTGCACGTATGCACTCATGGCCTGCTCCCATTCTTGTCCCGAGGGGATTTTTTTTTTTTTTCCAGGAAGCTGTTTCTTAATCCCCAAGGCTATAGCCAGCTCTCTGACCCCATGCATGCCTAGTTCTCACCAACACTGGTCCCCACTGATTCATGAGCGCCTCACAATGTAGAGTGTGTCTGTCTCCGTCCACCCTAACCAGATCTTTACTCCTTATCTGGTGAGAGCATTGTGTATTCTGTGCAGTCTGCCTAGTGCACTGCATTTTGAGGCAAGAAAGGAAGCAGCCACTATAGTAATCACCAAGAGGACATTGCCCTGGGCTTCTAGAAGAGCTATCATGTGCTTCATCTGTTAGCATTGTGAGACTAGGCAAGGCCAGATGGTCTGGAGGAGACGGGCACCCCAGACTGGTAACTAAGAAAATCTTCCCTTGTAGCCCCGAGAGGCGTTCACCTGTGGGAGTTCATCCGGGACATCCTTATCCACCCTGAGCTCAACGAAGGTCTCATGAAATGGGAGAACCGGCATGAGGGTGTGTTCAAGTTTCTTCGCTCAGAGGCTGTGGCCCAACTATGGGGCCAAAAGAAAAAGAACAGCAATATGACCTATGAGAAACTGAGCCGGGCTATGAGGTGAGCTGGTGGCTGGCACCCACCTGATGGAATGGGCACCAGAACTTACAGATCTGTCAGGGACCTCTGTTCAGACTCTACTGGCCTCCACCAGGCCTCATGTGACAGGTACGAGGCCCACAGGCAGAGGACAAGGGCAGTGTTGGTCTATTTGGTTGGTTGGTCAGGTGAAGTATGAAGGAAGCACTAACATTGCTATTTTCTGCAGATTTGTTCTAAGAAAGGCACTTGGTGATAGAGCAGCAATTTGCAGCTGAGCTTTCTTGTATCTGGGCCACAGTTTCTTCCTATGTGCCACAAAGGTGGAATAACTCAGTGTCACTAGTGTCCCCTCCAACCCTATGTTCATTTGCCTTCGTGAAAAGCCCTAGGACATAGCCAAAAGGCCCAGAGAAGTTAAGCAGAAGCAGGTGCTCTGGCTGTAATTACAGACCTGTATGGCAACAGCAGGTGGGATGAAGGTTCAGGCAGTGAGGAGCAGGCTCAGCGCAGTGGGGAAACTCAGTACCCAGGATGCCTCCTGCCTGCACCTCTGACCATCTTCTTTCCCAACCAGGTACTACTACAAACGGGAGATCCTGGAGCGGGTCGATGGCCGGCGGCTTGTCTACAAGTTTGGCAAGAACTCCAGCGGCTGGAAGGAAGACGAGATTGTACAGAGTCGGAATTAAAGGGTCAGGACTGGACTCAGAACCTGACTCAGACATGAACTTGAGAACTGAAACCTTCCTGGAAGGACAGGCAGGCCGGAGGCCCCCTTAATGTGGATGTGTTCCCCGTGTTGCTGTAGAGAGGAGAACCAGTTGGGTGTGTTGTCAGCAGTATCCTGAAGTTGCTTACAGCCCTTGGCCTCTCCTTCGCCCTCTTGGAATTACAAGCTCCAGGGTTTGAAGCGATTTGTTCGCTGACTCTACAGCTGTGAGTCCAGCTCCTTCCAGTCCCAGCACTGACTGCAAAAGAGACGCACCTGTAAATGCCTGGGCTCAGCCAAGTAGGCTGGGGAGACTGAAAAAGGAGACCACAGGGACAGGCTTATGTCCTCCAGTGCTTCTTCCTGAACTGGCTTCCACCTCTCTGCACTCAGGCTCCACAGGTGGGGGTCGGAGCATCCCTAATTTATGTGCTATAAATATTCCAGGTGTACATATAGAGCTATTTTTTCTAAAGTGTTTCCCTTCCCTGCTCTTCTCCATGAGCAATGGTGGCCAGACTGATTGTTCCAGGGCCCCCAACTGGATCAGCGAGAAGTGGGGTGATGCCAGACCCCCTCCCCAAGATGGGGCTCCTGGATCCCTTTTCCTGTGATGGAGGCTGAGTCCTCCAATAAAGTGCCCTCTGGGCTTTTTTCTAACCTTGGTCTGAGTATTGAAATCTCTGTATTGGAATTTGGGGCTGTGGACTGGTAAGGCACAGAGATAGGAGGGAGAGACACATGCAGAAAGATGTATGTGGGGGCTGGGTATGGAGTTCTGTAGGTGGAGGTTGAGAGGAGAGCAAGGAAAAATGGGCGAGGCTGCTGACAACCAAGGAAGCACCCAAGACCTCTTACAAGCAAGGACATGGGTTCAGAACAGGACCAGGGCTATCCTGTTGCCAACAACCATGTGCTCAGTGACCTTGGCCAACTCCGTTTTCTTCAGGGCTGCTTCCTCTTGTACAAGAGTTTGGATCCGATGTCCTCCAAGAAATCTAGAATTGCAAGTCCAGCCTTGTGAATAGATGCTTTTGCATTCTAGCCAATTTGGCCGCATGCTAAAGACCTGTAATCTGAATCCTAGCTTTGTGACTGACATGAAAGCACAGATAGGATCTTGTAAAGTGAAAAAGCAAAACAAAACTGCAGTTGCATGGTTGATGGAGAAAGAATGGCAACTGGTCATTGTTGACAGCCAAGGCAGTAGCCAGGCTAAACCCTGGTTTGCTTCATTTCCTCCTCTCCCAAGAAGAGACACTATCTAGGCTCTGACCTTTATCCTGTGCTTGGGAGCATCTCTAACCTGGGTTGTGGTTGTTGTTATTTGAAGGCTGGGAGACAGGATTTCACATATTGACCAGACTGGACTCGAGCTTAGCGATCCCAAGATCTGCCTGGGGCTGGCCTCCCGGTGCCTCACCCCCAAGTGCTGGGATGAATGGCATGCAGCACGCCACCTGGATCTCTAAGATACATAATTCTTTTTTGACATTTCGAAAAAGAAAATGTTTTATTGGGTATTTTCAAAATGAAAATATTTTATTGAAATGTTAACGAAAAATGATGTTATAAAGTTGAGGTCCTAAACCAGGTCGTGGTGGTGCACCTCTTTAATCCCAGCACTCAGAATCTCTTGAGTTTGGATCTCTTGAGTTTGAGGCCAGCCTGGTATACAGAGGGAGTTCCAGGACAGCCAATGCTACACAGAGAAACCCTGTCTCAAAAAACAAACAAACAAAAATTGAGGCCCTGATTCCTTCTGTTCAGAGCTTATGCCATGCTATTTGTCTCTGGTGCTGGGATCTGAACTATTCTCAGAGCCCTAGCTATGCTGATGTCTGTCCATGGTGTCAGTAACTATTCTACTAAACTCCTACCACACACACACACACACACACAATGAAGTGCTGGGCTGTAGGGCTGGGCATGGCAGTTCACTTGTGTGTAATTCCAGCACTTGGGAAACTGAAACAGGAGGATTGCTATGAGGTTGGTTGGTTTGGTTTGGTTTAAGTTTTTCCAGAAAGGGTTTCTCTGTATATCCTTGGCTGTCCTGGACTTGCTTTGTAGACCAGGCTGGCCTCACAGAGATCTGCGTGGTGTGCGCCACTGTGCTTGGCTCCCATTGTGAGTTTTAAAGCCAGCCTGGTGTCCATAAAGTTTCAGGCCACCCGGACTCAATCCTAATGTTCATGTGCCACCTCCCCCACCCCCACTCATACATTAAAAACCCACCAAGCCATTCGGTAAGTGTGAACCAGTTAAGGCCTAGTTGCCTTGGGAATACCAGATTATCTATTCCCTGGAGGGGTGCTGATAAAGAAGGAATCTTGAGAAAAGGCCAATAATCTGCTTGTGTTTATATGTGGAAATGGGGCCTGCTCTAGGGAAGCAATGATTCCTGCAAAGAATAGGGAGGTTTGTTGGAGAGGCTAGAGAGGCTGTGAAAGAACCTAGAATCTTCTGCAGGCATTTTGGAACAGATCCTTAGTGTAGGCAGGATAGGCTTCACGCTGCTGTGGCCACCCTAGCCGGGGGAGTGAAGGCTCCACTTGGCCAAACAATGATCTCATTTGTATGTTCAGCACACAGATAGTTTCTCCACCAAGCTCTCTCTGGAGTCCTTTCCTTAAAGAGACAACTTCTTCAGGTGGATCTCTTTGAGTTTGAGGCCAGCCTGGTCTACAAATTGAGTTCCAGCACAGCCAGAGCTGGTGAGGTGGCTCAGAGGTTAAGTGCACTGACTGTTCTTCCAGAGGACCCAGGTTCAATTCCTAGTACCCACGTGGCAGTTTTACAGCTATCTGTAACATACTCACACTGACATATATGTAGGCAAAACACCAGTGTGCATAAAAATAAATGGTTTTTATTAAAAAAAAAAAAAATAGAGAAACCCTGCCTTGAAAAAGAGGGTTGGGGGCTGAAATAATCTCTTGTTGCTGAAGGCACCTCAACCAAAAGTAGAAAGCCTTGGGGAACAGGCCATCCTAGCTATGCCTTGCCTGCTGCGTCCCTTAGTTTTCTCAGCTCCAAGGGAGATGAGTCTCACCTGTGAGGTATGTGTGGGGCTAGAAGGCTGGGAAGCCTCACACACTGCTGAAGCAGCTGCCCCAGAGGCCTGAGCAGACGTTTGCCCTGCCCTCCTCAGTTTCTGAAGTGCATTCCTCATCCCACTATCACAACAGATCCATCCCATAGGCCTCTGAGAAGGCCAGGTGTCCCATTTCACTGATGGAAGCAGAAGCTGGCCCAAGGTCACTGGTCAGGTGAGCGTGGGGACCAGAAACCCAGCATTCCTGCCTGGGCCTGGGGCAGAGTCCACAGGGATAGGCTTTTATGATACAATTTCACTCTGTAGCCAAACCAGTCTTGAACTCCTATGCTTTAGTCCAAGCTTGCTTTGATCCTCCTGCCTCAGCTTCCCAACTGGTGGAATTCCTTGGTATTTTTTGTTTGTTTTGCTTTTTTTCTTTTTGAGAAAGGCTCTCACTTTGTACACTGTACAAACTAACAGACCACAGTTCAACAGGAAGCCCCACCGGCCTCAAGCTTTCTCGCTTCAGCCTCTAAAAGGCTACCATGCCCAGCCTCTGCAGGACACCTTTAACTTGAAACCTTTCACCTCAGTAGCTCTTCCTTCCCTCTACCCAACAGGACAGGCAGTGTCCTGCAGACCCCTAGGCTGTCATTTCTTAGTTCTCTGAGAAAGGCAGAAAACTAGGCCAAGTCTCACCAGCCCAGGGGCCATCTAGCCCTCAGCCACCTGCCCTGGGTCCACTAGGGTGTGTCTTGGGTAGGGCTGTTTATATCCTGCCCTGAGCTGGTCACCTCTTATCAATTTCTGTGGGATTATGTGTGTTGCTGGGTGGGTCAGAGAGAGGTCAACCCTCCAGGGTTTGGGTGTGCCCAATGGGTCCAAGCCTGAGGGGCTGGGCTAGCTGCCCTGCCTCTTCTGAATGGTTCCCAGAATCACATAGCTCAGAGTCCAGCATCTCACCACCATGCTTTCTGGAGTAGGACTGGCTGAGAAGAGAGTCAAATTATGTCTAATAAGGTGCCACTTAATATTAGATGTTTATTTTCTAGGCCTCAAGAAAGCATCAAGCCACAAAGAACTTATTATTTCCCAAACACTATGAAGAGTATCTGAACTCTTGTGCCACTCCCTCCCCCAACACACACATACAAATTTATAATTCTTTTGATAAGTTTCCTTTTTTTTTTTTTTTTTTTGAGACAGGGTTTTTCTGTATAGCCCTGTCTGTCCTGGATCTTGCTCTGTAGACCAGGCTGGCCAACTCAGAGCTATGCCTGCCTCGCATCTGTCTCTGCTGCAGGGGTGCTGGAATTCAAGGCATGCACTACCACCACACTGCTGTATAAAAGACTGCTTTGTCGACTGCTATGCTGAGCCCTTTGGCATTGGCCAACACCTTGCCTTATTTTAGTTTATTTCATCTGTCCATTTGTACACCTCTGTCCTTACCTAGTTGCAGTGCCTGTACACAAGCTTACTCCTGTCAGCACCTGGCCCAGACAGGGTGCTTCGTAAGTAACTCCCTGCAACTGTCTCTGACCTGGTCACCCCCATGTACAGGAACACAAACTCATGTCACAAACTCAATACACCCCTACGTGCCATCATCACACACACCACACCAACATATAGTCTCACGCTCATACAAACAATCCCTCATATGTACTAGCATACAAGGCAGGCACTACATACTTACACTCACAGAGGTCACAGCCTCAAACACACCCTTATGTGTGCCAAAACATTGGAAAACGCACACACACACACACACACACACACACACACAACCAGACTAAGGCCCTTGCTGTGAGCCTCTCAGACTGTCGAGCTCAGCCTTTTGTTTACACAGCTCCTCCCTTCCCTGAGCCAAGTGGCCCCTTCTCTGCAGCATTTCCAGCTTTCCCTCCAAGCAGCTTATCATTTCCCTCCATTAAAAAATGAAATTGGTTTGTTTGGTTTTGTTTTTCAAGACAGGATTTCTCTGTGTAGCCCTGGCTGTCCTGGAACTCACTCTGTAGACAAAGCTGGCTTCGAACTCAGATCCTCTTGCCTCTGCCTCCCAAGCGCTGGAACTAAAGGCATGCGCCACTACTGCACGACCCCCCAAAAAACTCTTGAATTTACAGAATTTGCAGGGCCCAGAGCAAAGTAAAAACCTGGGCCCGCCTTTAAAAACTACATAAAGCTGGGCAAAAGGCCTCAAGCCTGTCATCCCCACTCCTGGGAGGGTGAGGCAATTGAACTGCTGTTGAGTTCCAGGCTCAAAACAAAGAAACAACTTACTTAAAATTCTAAAAAGCAACAGAGCTGGGTGTCATGGCAGATGGATCTTTGTGAGTTCGAAGCCAGCTTGGCCTAAAAAGTGAGTCCAGGACAGCCAGGGCTCTGTTACACAAAGAAACAACAAAAAGTAACAGAAAGAGCTCCACGTCAGGCATGCTGCCGTCCTGCGCACGTCTCCGTTCCCATCTGCCTCTTAAGTGCCGTGCCATCCACCAAGCACCCAACAGGGAGTAAGCTAACTTTTTTTAAATGGGGGATTGGGGAACTGTCACAAAACAATAGGATCAAAATGAATCCAAGCCTTCCCTTTAAGATCTCAAAAGAGCCTGCAGTG